ACACACACACACACACACACACACACACACACACACACACACACACACACACACACACACACACACACACACACACACACACACACACACACACACACAGAGAGAGAGAGAGAGATTACCATGGCGGAAAGGCGCCAGCAAGCTAGATTACGCCGTCTGGTGAGCTAAATTACAGGAGGTAGATTACATTACCAGACCCAACCCTCAGACTACACTGCAGTTCCAACCTTTCAGACTATAGCAACCTTGAGTAGGCCAGAAATAGTTCACGGCAAAGTTCAACACTTCTATTAGATTACGATGAGGCTGAACGGTCTCGTTGCAGCTCCTATACCCACATGTATGTTTTTGCATGCACGGCTGGGTGCCATGCGGTAGCTCTCAATCCGGTCTGTTAAGGGGCTTTAAGGCCGGCTCATTCACGTCATCCACAGCCTGCTTACGAGCTGCTTGTGGTGCAACATGTACGACTGTCTTCACTGCCTGCCACTAGTGCCCACTAAAAATGGGAGGCCGCCGGAAGGCGGGTTGGGTTCTGTCCAGGGAGTCGTTACTTATGTCGTCGTGGGGTGTTGCTCCAGCTGCCACTGCGAAGTTATTGCTCAGTCCTGCCGTGTTGCGTTACAGTAGCTAAGCCGCCAACCGCAAGCACAACTCATTAGCAAAACAACTCGTTGCGAAACCCCCTCCCAACACCAACCCATTGTGAAAGTTGCACTAGTGGCCGATAGTAATGACAATTACCTTTGTTGCACCGTTAACGAATCTACCACCTCAAGCGCCCCGACAAGAGCCACGCGGGCGACCCACCCGAGGCCAGCAGGGACAAAACCAGGGACCGCTGCATTGTGGCAACCCCCGGGGTTGCCCTGGGTGGGTGGGGGTTACGACGGGGCACAGACAATTGACGAGAGAACGCACATATACGGGTTCTCCAAACTTAAACCAATGATAAAGGACAATTAGTGAGATACCGACCCGTGGGTGAGTGGGGGGAAACTAGAGGACACTGTCCCAGCAGTGGAACACACCTCTTGGTAATAGTCAAACCAACGGCAGTTAAAGAACCAATGCGCCTGTGGGACCCAAGTAGGAGCTCGGCGTCCCCCTGCCGTACTGTGGTCCGGCACATGCATGCATGCGCCCTACTTCCACGCACCACGGCAGTTCCTTCGCAATAACTTGCCTATCTCTACACTCATACTTCGTTTCGAGAAGTCGAAGCTTGTCGCCCTTGTTCCAAGTCGGGCTTCCTTCGATGCCAGGAATGTCAGTTTTCGTAAGAAGTCTTCATTACAAAAAGGAAATACCTGGAAGCAATGAAAGCAGTCTTCGTGATAGGGTAGGGCCGGGTGTGGGTGCACTACCCGCCCATGGCGATATCCCACCGCTTAATGAACAAACAGGAACTCGCAAAGCACGCAAGTTCGATGAAGTCGCTGCACAGGCGCTTGTGGAGCTGGTAATCTTAAAGCATCTTACGTACTGAGCACACATAAGAGTGTCCCTGATATTCGCTGTGCATTGTCTGAGATAGGTTACGTCCACAAGAAGGTTTTCACCAGGCCATGCGAGGCACGGGAATCGGCTAAGCTGGCATATCGCCAGCTTGTGTGTGTGTGAGTGTATATGTGTGTGGTTGCACCAGTAGGCTTTAGACTCACATAGAGTAGAGCCAGTGGGCCAGCTGGTCCTGCACTGCAGCAGACCAGACATCAGCAGAACGACAATTAGGCAAAATCGGCTCTGTAACGCCAAATTTTAAGCCATTATAAAATGGTTGTAAGACACCACCGAAGCCAGAAATATTAGGCCCGCACTGGCGCCGCATCGAAGCCATTCCAGTCTTTCTGCGCACGCTGGGTTGGCTTTCAAAGCCAACCAAGTTGCTGGATTTGGCATGCAGTGAAAGGTCAGGCCGGTTGGGCAGGCCTTTGGTGAAGCCGCTTGTAGTATAGTGTCATGGGGTGGGCCGAAGTTCACCACCGAGGGTATTTATGGCTGAGCTCGGTCCGCGGGGGATACTCAGTGGGCTTGTGCGCTGATCCTGCAGGCATGAAATTACAGTAGGTGCTGCTCGCATGTGACAGCCACGGGCTGTTGCACGGCAACAGTCAGGTTCAGCCATTAGTGACCTGTGGGTGTGTGACCCATGGGTCAGTCCGGGACCGCTCGTGAAGGCACTCTGCTGGAGCCCATCAACAATGGGCATGTGTGATGGTGGGGTTGGTATTGTGAGGCTTTTGACACGGCCGAATGAACTGTTAGTGGCGGCATGTCCGTGCATGAGATGCAGAGCTACATGCGGCTGCAGGATGGGACCTGGCCAGGACTGCATGATGCCGTGCCTTAAGGAACACTTCACCTCCACAGATCGAGGACCCCCAGCTCCAGCTCCCCTTACTCATCCTCCACCATTAGGCCCATTCCCACCTCCCCTACCACACCACGGCTAGGTAGGTAGTTTTCCGCTATTACCATGACTACATCATCACGAAGACTTCTTCGCAACCGCCGCCTTGTTAGTTATACCTCCTTTACTTCTGGCGCATCAGTCTTTCCTTGGCATCACCACCACTCGCTCGTGGCTCGTCTTCCCCCATCCCACCCCACTGCAGTTGTTCTCTCCACGCCCGCCTCGCGGGCAGCGGCCTCATAGATGTAGAAGAAATCTCCCTCCTTTGACTTGCGCTTCTCCAAGTGCTCGTTAAGTGATTTGACGAAGCTGCGTTAGTTGCGTAGACAAGGTCTCCGATCTGCACTTTCAGGCATTCCTCCTCGCTGACCTGCTCCTGTGCTGCGAGCTGCTTCACGTCGGCGACTGGCACCTTCTTCGTCACCCGGTTGTCCAAACAAACCACACCACGTTTGCGACTTGGGAGCTCGTTAGCTGGAAGTCTCTCAGACGCCTCCCACTCTCCACTGTGATTCATCGGTCCACCTGACGAAATGGTCGGAACCGTTAATTCAAAAGTCTTTACAGGCTGCACAATGCTATGATCTGGGTAGCTGCCTGGCTTTTCCAAATAGTTTATGAATAATCTCCACGTGAAAGTTTTACGATAACAATTGCGCCAGGCAACCAATGATCCAAAGAGCTGGCGAGGAAGAAACGCGGTCCCTTACGTGGTGCAGCACCTCTCACAATTCAAGAGTCCGTCATAATCTTATCCAAACGCATGATACATGGAGTACTTCAAAGTGGCATACTCAGGAACACTGTCCGACCCAAGATAACTTATACCAAGAGGGCCTGCATTGCAAATCTGCGTGAGTCCAATCCTGCGTAGAATACAATGCTAGCCTATATGGAGGTCTACGTGTCTTCGTAAGGCGGTTGTGTTTTTACAACCGAGTACAACCCTAAGGAATGCTGCAAGGGCCCTACGCCGACACAGCAACATGCGCTTCATAAGTTCGCGCTCTGAGTTTGGGTACACCAGACGTCAGCGAGTAACCATGCAGTCACAACCACTGGCCCGGATAGGGCTAGGGCAGGTGAGGACAGCATAATGTGATTGTGAGGAGCTGTTGCCATCCCTGCAATTAGGTTGAAACAAAAACCTACTGCAATGAATACTATGGGGTTGTGCTAACTCGTGACGCTATTTCCGGCGCAGGTCCGCCTCGGCCTGCTTGGCCGCGAGCGGAGCAATGTCCTCTGCTACTCCTCAATTGCCGGAATCGAGAAGGTACGCGTTCAACGGATCCTAGTGTCGGGAAGTAATTTGCGTGCTGTTGCTGACACAGCTAATGACGCTCAGGTGCCGATGAGCAAGTTCGAGCCGACGGAGTATGTAAACGACCGCTACAAGGCGATTGAGGACCGCCTTAAGGTTGGCTATCATGACGGGTTTCGGAGTTGTGTTTGACGCCCTCACGTGGGGTCTCAGTGTCTCCGTGACATCCGTTTCGCAGGTGGTTCGCAAGCGGCTGAACCAGCCTCTGACTCTGGCAGAGAAGGTACGCACTGTAACAGGTCAATATGATGGGCCGTCATTCAAATGTTTCTGACGTCTCTTCGCTGCTGTCGCAGATCGTGTATGGTCATCTCGATGACCCGGAAACAGCGGACATGAAGCGCGGCGTGTCTTACTTGAAGCTTCGACCTGGTGCGACTCCTCTATGTTGTGCATGCACAATAATGGTTTTACCTTGCGGCTCAAGGTTCAAATTTCAGCTGTCCTGTTTCCCCCTCCCCTAAGCCCTCCGCTCCCTTCCCGTGCCACGCCCTCCTCCCCTGCAGATCGTGTGGCCATGCAGGACGCCACCGCCCAGATGGCCATGCTGCAGTTTATCTCGTCTGGTCTGCCAAAGACCATGGTGCCTTCTACTATCCATTGCGATCACCTGATTGAGGGGACGACGTCACCGCAGCCAGACAGGTGTGCTTGTGGCAACGCCCGAGGCCGGCCGGGCGATGGCATGAAGGCCTGATCTCTGCCCATTTTTTTTTCGGGTCAACGATCCTGCTGGGTGCCCATCTTGCGACATGACGCCCGTTACCCCTTTGCGATAAATTGGTTGGGCATATAACGGCCTTGCGTACCGACCGCTGTACCTTATATCCTCGCTTGATATTGAACCTCAACTGCAAAGGTTGAGAAGACAATTAAAGCTTTGCGACTGCTCCTTGCAGGGAGGGCAAGTTTGGTGGCGACGCTGACTTGAAGCATGCCGTGACGACTAACAAGGAAGTCTACGACTTCTTGGCCACTGCGGGCTCCAAGTATGGCGTTGGCTTCTGGCGACCGGGCTCCGGTATTATTCACCAAGTAGGGCTGTCGGGGAGGGCTGGATCCAGGACTGGATCGCCTGGGTCAGCAACCTTGGGGGTGACATGCAGTCCTAGAAGTTGGCCCAGTCCTGGATTTGCGATTCGAAGCGACCAACATGGCGGTCAAACAGTAGCCCAACTGATGGCGTCTAGGGCATTGCCAACTTTAGGCATTTTGCTTTGCTCTTGTGAATGCGTGACCCTATGTCTAAAGCCGTGCGGTTTATGTATGTCAAGATGGGGGCCACAATAAACTAACTTGGCCGCCTGGCACGTGGCATGATTGGGACCCACGCACTTGAACATGAGATCCTCGCGGGGGTGAGAACAAACATTGGCGGGTGAAGCAGACACCAGAGACAGACGGATAGTCCAGGAGAAGTTTTAAATGCTAAGGAAATTTCTCGGGGTGGCCACTGCGCTAGTTGACGAACTGCAGCCACAGCTAACTAGTCTCAACATGGGTACTTTAGGCTGACAGAGCCTCTTGGTTGGCCGCAAGGTACCGGTGATTTGCCTGCTGCATCACCTTGGCAGATTCCGCGCACTAGCTGCTTACCCGGTTAGGTGGTTCAACCAGTGCGTTGACTGGGCATTGGTCGTGAAGAATACTTTATCACACGAGCAGCAAGGCAAATGCGTCATCCATGTAGAACTAATGCGTTGTTCATAATCATCACGTAATGGCTACAGCCGGAATCGGACTGTGTGTAGTAGGTCCTTAATGGCATCGGCTCAGCTCATTGCATGCATCGATCCTGGGTGTGTCTGTGGATGAGTTGGGTCTAGCTATGTTTGCGCTGGGAATTGCCAGAAGTCTGTTTTGTCGTTTCCATAGTTTCGTCACACAGCAACGCACAATCTGGACAAGTCTCATCAGCTCATGGTGATAACCCATCCTACCCAACTGTGGTTGGGTACCTGGCTTACACGTAGATCGTGCTGGAGAACTACGCCATTCCGGGCTTGATGATGATTGGCACGGACTCGCACACCCCCAATGCGGGCGGTCTAGGCACGTGCGCGGTGGGTGTGGGTGGTGCGGATGCGGTGGATGTGATGGCCGGATTGCCCTGGGAGCTCAAGGCGCCGAAGGTGATTGGCGTCAAGCTCACGGGCAAGATGTCGCGCTGGACGTCCCCCAAGGATGTTATCCTCAAGGTAAGCATCGCCTTTCTACCTGTAACTGTCTAAAGAAATTCTTCCTATCTTCCTATCAGTGAGAAGACAAGTGAATTTGCTTTACATTCCGCTTTGTGTGCGAGCACTGTTCAGGCGCAGCGGGGTTTTGAGTCGTGTGGTATCTCCCGGGACTTGCAACGCGCCCTGTTCTCATGGATAAACCCTACGTAACTATGTCTTACTTACGGTCCTGCAGGTAGCGGGTATCCTCACTGTCAAGGGAGGCACGGGCGCCATTGTGGAATACTTCGGACCCGGCGTCGACCACATGAGCTGCACCGGCATGGCTACCGTTTGCAACATGGGCGCTGAGATTGGCGCTACGACGTCGATCTTCCCGTACAACAAGCGCATGCACGATTACCTTGTGGCGACGGGCCGCGCGGGTGCTGCTTCCCTGTCGGACGCTTTCAAGTGGGTCCTTCGCTGTGGAATTTGTTAGACGTTAGACGGGGCCCGTGGCGCGGAGGAGTAGGAAGCGTGGGTCATGCGCCGATAGGCGTTCGTCATTTTGTGGTTTCGAAGCTCATGCTCATGTTTTCCTCTTGGGTTCCCTATTCTCTCGGGCCCCCTTCAGGGAGAACCTTCGTGCGGATGAGGGCGCTTCTTACGACCAGCTGATTGAGATTAACCTGTCAGAGCTGGAGCCCCACATCAACGGCCCTTTCACACCCGACTTGGCACACCCGCTGTCCAAGTTCGCTGAGGAGCTGCGGAAGAACAACTGGCCTTCGGAGCTCAAGGCCGGTCTCATTGGCAGCTGCACCAACTCGTCGTATGAGGACATGGCGCGCGCTGCTTCCGTGGCCAAGCAGGCGCTTGCAGCCGGTAAGCCAGGACCCTTGAAATGTCCACCATGCGCCGCACTTTTCCAAAACCTCTCACCATGTGGCCAGTGGTGATGTATGTCGTTCATGTCCCTCCTCTTGAACGCGCTCGTTCGTCGATTTCTTTTTCTCTGCTTTGTACGGTGCCGTACCAGGATTTTTGAGTATCCGCATTCCCGTGTGCTCAATGCGTCCTTCCGCTGCAAATTCGGATGTAGGCATCAAGGCTAAGGTTCCGTTCACTATCTCGCCTGGCAGCGAGCAGATTCGCGCCACCATTGCGCGCGACGGCATTATGGACGTCTTCGACAAGATTGGTGGAACGGTACTGTCGAACAGCTGTGGTCCCTGTATCGGCCAGTGGAAGCGCACGGATGTGCCCAAGGGCGAGGCTAACTCGATCATTACCTCCTTCAACCGGTGAGGAAGCTTGTCGCTTGCGTACGTATCCCCATAGACACGCGTAGCAGGACACGACAAGCCACGGCCGCGGCCGCAGCGCCCCAAGGATGAAAGGAAGACCCTGTTGCGCTAAAGCATGGAGTCCGCAACTGTGCCCACATGTTGATGCTTGCTTCCTTTCTAAATGTCGGCTGCCTTGATTTCCGCCTTGAAGGAACTTCGCGGCTCGTAACGACGGCAACCCCGCTACGCACGCTTTCGTAGCCTCTCCGGAGCTGGTGACGGCGTATGCTATTGCAGGCGACCTGACTTTCAATCCGGAGAAGGATACGTTAGTTGGTGCGGGTAGGTTCTTTGTGCGTTGGCGGAGTCGGCTGGGTCCGTTGCAACTTGATCAGCTCAGACTTGCCTCCACCATTGAGACCCCACGGGAGATAGCTAATCCTTGTGTTTGCTGGAATAATTGGTCCACAATGTCCGGTTCTGCGGCCCAACGGTGCTAAGTGATGAGCGTGCTTCATAACGCCACTGAGTTCTCTTCACATTTTCTGTTGGTAATGTTTTCAGATGGCAAGGAGATTAAGCTGGAGGCGCCGTTTGGCGACGAGCTGCCGGCTCGTGGCTTTGATGCGGGTGCGAATGTGTACCAGGCCCCCCCGGCCGCCCTGGAGGAGCGCGGCAAGTTGACGGTGAAGGTTGACCCTTCTTCGCAACGTCTGCAACTGCTGTCGCCATTCAAGCCCTGGAACGGAGATGATATTAAGGACGCCGTCGTCCTGATTAAGGTGCGGAGGGTTGGGTGGGTGGTTATGTAGGGGAGATTTGGAGCCGCCGTGGTCGGGGCCATTGTATCGTTGAGCTCGGTGCTTAGTTTTTATTGTGATTCCAGTGCAGATAGTATTGTGATTCCAGTGCTGTAGACCGTTTGAGTGCCGTTTGAACTTGTTTGTTCTACCTAAATGGCGAACATATAGGTCAAGGGCAAGTGTACAACGGATCACATCTCCATGGCCGGACCATGGCTCAAGTACCGTGGCCACCTGGACAACATTTCCAACAACCTGCTCATCGGTGCCATTAACATCGCAAACGGGAAGCCGAACGCTGTCAAAAACGTGGTGACGGGCGAGGAGGGTCCCGTTCCAGCGACTGCACGGTGCGTTGGGTTGCAGACTGGTGCCGTGTTTCCCACCGCCGCGTGCGCCTGCTTGTGCTGAGCTACCGGTGATTGAAGAACTGTTGAAGAACTGTCGTAGACATAACTGCTTCTTACTGCCTCGGAACTGCAGGGATTACAAGGCTCGCGGTCTTTCCTGGGTCGTCGTGGGTGACGAGAACTACGGCGAGGGCAGCAGTCGTGAGCACGCCGCGCTGGAGCCACGCCACCTGGGGGGCGTTGCCATCATTGTCAAGTCCTTTGCCCGCATCCATGAGACGAACCTGAAGAAGCAGGGTGAGTGCTGTGCGCTACCTAGTTGGGCACATTGGGGGTCGTTACAGTCGGAGAGGGGCGCGAGGAGAGGAGGACAACGCATGGAAGCGTGTTATGTAGTCGGCGGGTATCTACCGGTGCTGCAGTTTGGTTCATGGCGGCTGTTTTGGTTCTCCCGTTCCTAAACTTCTTCATATTACTCCTCCCCGAAACCGCTGCGCAGGTATGCTGCCCCTCACGTTTGCCAACCCAGCTGACTATGAGAAGATCGACCCAACCGACCACATCTCTATTGAGGGCCTGAAGACGTTCACGCCCGGTGTGCCGCTGACGTTGGTTGGCAAGAAGGCAGACGGTTCCACATACAGCTTCCCGGTCAACCACACCTTCAACGAAAACCAGATTAACTGGTTCAAGCACGGCTCGGCTCTCAATGCTATGGCCGCAGCATTCAAGGCAGGCAAGATGTAAATTGGACGACTGGCATCGGGGATTGTCTTGCTGATTTTGGATGCGGAAATCGCTCCGCGGCTTATGCTTTGGCCCTTGATTGTGCTGTATGTGTGATTAGCCTGTCAAAGACCCTTGACAGCAAGGAAAATGGCCGCAGCATAATAAAGGGCATCCGAAATCAGCAAGCAAGTTCTATTGTCCTTTTGCGCGGTATGGCGGCAGCATGAACCAGTCTATTGGCAACGTCTAGGATTCGCGGGAAATTATGTCTGCAGTTGCATTTATGGCGCGTAGTTTCCCCGTGTTTTGGGCCTTCGCCTGCAGGCGTTCTGCATGATCTGTACATGTGGTTGTAGTTTACGCTGTCCTTGTTACTGTTTTGTAGGGGTTCTGCTGCTTTTGCCCTTAGGGCGACAACTGTACGCATTGAAGTTTAGAAGCCTGTGGACCAGTGTGGTGCTAGGAACATGCTTTCATGTGTAGGGAGGTGCAATTGACGCTGTGCGTCCATTAAACTGCATGGACTTTTAACTAGACGGAAACGATATTGCGTTCGACGTGTTCGAGGCGCGTCGTAATAATGGTACATTGATGTGTGTTTGCTAAATACCCCTGATGCGTTTCATAAGGGCGGAAGGTGGATGATGTGTTTGGTGATGGTGTGTGTGTGTAAAAGCCTCTTGAGCCATATGCGCTATATTCCTTTGTTATGCACCTATTCATTCTCATCTGTGCACACCCGTGCACACGTACTAAGCTGCATCTTTGGCAGGGAAGGCTGTGCTGTCAATTGTCTCTCCTCTTTATAAGAGAAACCTAACGAAGGCAAGTTCCGCAAGCAGAAAACGTTAAGCAGCGACTGCTGCTAACAGAATTTGCCCGCTGTCCTATGCGAACGTCCGACCTAAAGTCAACGCGTAACCTACTCGCGCAAAGTATACGTGGCCAAGGCTGACGGTTCGGTTGTCGCTGGTACAGGATGTATGGGCATGTAATGCCCAAATACCATGACCACCAAACTCCCTCGGCTGACCGAGTCCACATTCCCTTATGTTCTGGAGCAGGCCATACAGGGCTACCAACGCGGAATGTATCTGGCACAGTTTGGGATTCGATGTTGTGATAATGGACGAGACAATAGCGCTGTAGGTGGCTGTTATGCGCATGGTAGTCATGAGGAGAAATAGAACTAACATTACGGACCAGTGAGGTAGACAAGACGTACAACCAGTCCCTCACCCGCTAGTGTGCAAATTGCCTTCCCTGTCATCCCTTCCTAACCGCCTTCAGTTGAGACGAGCATGCCTGCTATCTTGCATTGATAGAGGCCCAGCTCCTGACCGCTCCAGAGCGTTCCATATCCATATCCCCCTGACTCCCCCGCAGTGCAGCGCATCCCCAACGCCCTCATGAAAGATGGCACATTACAGCCTTTGGCAAAATTTGGAATTAATATAGTTCTTCTTCCATTTTTGAGTTCACGGTACGGCCCGCCTTCCACCACGTAAAAAGCCCATCCACGCTAACATGTGTGCGCATGTATCAACGACTGCGAGGCTCCAGACCATTCCCCTACGCGCCCTTCGCAAGGTGCAGGTAGCACACCCCGACGCCAAGAACATTGCCCCTCAGTAAGCTGCGAGGGTAAAGACTGCCGCAGGTACCTCATGTCCATATCCCATACAGCTGTGCTCAATCCTGGTTAGCCTTTTCTAAAGCCCGAGCTGTGTTAAATGAGCCCATAGCTGCCCTTTTCACGTCATGCGCAAAACAAGGTGATTAACCAGCCTCCTCGGCCGTACCCTCCCAGCCTTCATTACCGGTAATCACAGCCGACGCTCAAACGCTCAACCCTCAGCTAGATTGCAACAATCCTCCAACAAGCCATCCCAGGCTCCCTACTGAGATGGCCTGCGCCAACCAGCGTCTGGGAGTCTCAAGCGGCCCGCAACCTTAACCGCCGCTGCGGCCGGGTGTTCACCCGCTAGCAATCCAGTAAGACAAAGAAATCGTCTTGGGTCTCACGCAGTTTTTTCATTGCTGACCAAAGACGGCCTGGTCTCCCAGCTCCTGGCCCTTGAGCCCCTCCTTGACAGCTCGTCTGCGCGGAGGATCGGGGCCGGCATATCGGGTTTCAATGGTGGGATCCGGGGGAGTCGAGTCGCATTGCTTAAAGGTCTAGTGCAAGGTCGGTTTGGGTACGCCTCGAATTCAGATGGATACAGACGCGGTATTAAATTGCGCTAAATTGACCCCGGGACACATGGTAGCTGGTCTAGCCATCTTGGGAATTGAAGCCAATCAAGGAAAATTATTTATGGCATAGAGAAGATAAAAAAAGGAACAATGAAAACCCGACCGGGTACCTAATGACGACGTCCGCCTTTACTCACGAGAAAAACTCCTCCAGCGTCTCCTTGCCGTACCCAGGGGTAGCCTCCTCCAAATACACCCCGCGCTGCTCGTCCCAGACGAGCATCGACTCCGTTGCATAATACTTGCCGATGCGAGCAAACTCAGCCGTGTCCTACAGGAAGACGGCGGAGCAGCAAAAGGTCCGGCGGGGTTACCCTGAAGGCTAATAACGAGAAGGCACTCCAGGATAGGATACAAGGACTCCAGTGCCGACGCGTGTAGCACCCACACCTACACAGCACGCATACCTCCAGAGATGGGAACAGCCGCGCCAGAGCATCAAAGATGGAGATCATGCCGTCCATGAGCGCCACTGGCACTGGGAAGTACTTGGGTGGCAGGCCGGTGATCTGGAACAGCAGGTCGGCCTGCTGCTTGGCGGTGTAGGCGCGACTCGGGCCGCCGATTGGCAGGACCTGCGAGGAGGCGTCCCGGGGCAGGGGTAAGGGTTCCGAGGGACGGATGCAAGCACCGGGGTAAGGCGCGGGCCTGAAATCCCCCTTTGGCAACGCACTGAAGAGGGCCATGGTTATGCCTCGACGTTGCCACCCATTCTCGTCGAAGCCAGGCCACGTTAGGCCGGGTCAAATAGGTAAGGCCACGCCACGTCGACTGCCTGCAGTCGGTAGTCTGTCCTGGTCTTCGCCTGGTTCTCCGTTTTCCCGCTGAAAACCATCTGACCGTGCTCTAATTGTAGATTCTTGATTCCTACCTTGTTAACCTTGTCCTCCTCCGTCACGCAATCTGCAATGAAGGACGCCAGGTCAGCCTCGCTGATGGGTTTGCACGCCGCCAGGTTGCCATCGCCAAACATGACGTACGGATTGCCCTTCTTCACAATGTCAATCTGCAGGACGGGCGCGTGCGCGAAGGGATGTTTTGATGGAGGAGGAGCTGCGTTTCGCGCGCGGCAAATGATCGGAAATAACACGGCGCTCACAGACCCGCAGGTCCCTCTGCTTGGTCAACCTCGTGCAGCAGCTTCCTGGGCGCATACCTGACCGGCGATACTCTTGAAAAACGCGGTCGGCCGCACAATCGAATAGGTGATGTCGCCGGCGGCCTGCGGGAGGTTGCAAAAGACAGTGCACGCACTTACGCTATGTGGGGTGTTCATGCACAAACGGTAGGAGGAGGTGGCGGATGTGTGAGCAAGAGCACGCTGCTTCGTCTCAACGCGGGATCTTCGCGTTCCTGAGCCCGGGGGACGAAATTTGCTATGTGTAGCTTCCAGAATGCAATGCAGGCTGTAACGTGATCAATGCAAGGAAAAGAAAAGCAGGATTGCTCCTGCTCGTTTTGTGCTCCGCTTCAAGCCCCACCTAGCATATACAACAGCTGCCGCTTTCCATACCTGCAGATCCGCCTCGAACTTGAGCTTGGCACGCTGGAACTCCAGTAGTGGTCTCTGGACGCAAATCGCGGACAGCAGCACAAAGTGTTTCGAGCCCGACTCCCTCGCCACATCGAGCGTGTTCTTGGTGGCCGTGTAGTCGATCAACCAGGAGTCCTTCTTGCCCCCTGAGGAAAGGAAGAGGGGCCTCGTGAGCTAAACAATGGAGCCCAAGGAAACAGCCAACAGGGCCGGAGCAACCGGGACATGGTGAGGCAGCTCATGGGGATGCCAACCCATTCAGGCGGCAGCAAGCTGCGCTCCAAAGAAGGAAAATATCCTTCTTGGTTTCCATATGCTATACCACCACCGTGTCATGTGTCCATCCTCCTGTTGCTGCTTACTGCCGACGTTACTATTCCTGATGATGAAGCAACCAAGTTGCGTGCGTTCAGCCGACATGTAAGCGCTGCGCCTCTGCCATACTGCGAGGGAGCCCTCTGCTTCCCACCCAGGCGCCGATCCAACTCGACCGTCCCCCGCTTTGGGTCGATTACGCCCAAGTTGCGTTTCCAAGTGCACAATGCCATGGGGCCGAAACTAATGTAGTTCACAAGCCATGTCGTCCTACGCGTCCAGCCCAGAATGCGCGGCATGTTCGTCCAGGCACCAGGCACCCAGGCCATGGAGGAAATCCAGATGCAACCACAGGACGATCCCAGGCGCACAAAGAAATTCGTTGGCCCACTTCCCTGTCCTAGCCACACGTCCACACATCTACACCCCCCCCACACACACGAACACAGTTAACCCCGGGCCGCGGCCTTCTCCACAACTCACGCAAATCTGCCTGCAACTTGACAAAGAAAACCACCCGAGTTGGCGTCGCTATCGACCGGGGTCAAACCATCCAGAAAATTGACGTTTTGTCCTCCGCTATAGCGCACACATGATTGTATAATCTGCTCCGGAGCTGCGTTTCGACCTAAGCCATGTTCCCGCGCACCAGGCGCACCAGGTCGCACCAGCAGGGCCCCCACTGTGCAACCCACCCACCGGTACGGCTCGCCAAGCAGCTGACCACCACATCCACCGGTTCCCTGAACGCCACCTTCCGCAACGAGTCGTGATCCAGCACAGAGCCGAACCGCACTTCAGCCCCTGGAAATTCCTGAAGGACCAGAAGGACGGTGGATGCGAGTATAGCAAAAGGGCGGAGGGCGCATTCGTCGAGGGCGTGAGACTGAATGCCACCATGACAAAGCAAAAACAGTCACCGTAGCGAGGTGTGGTGGCTGACAGGTAGCCCCTGGCGATGGAACAGGCGTGCATGTGCCGAATGCCAAGATGCGCTTTGCATTCCAACTGATTAGATGGCTGGTTGCCAGGGGGATGGGGGATGGACTGCTTTCGTGGATGGTAGGTAGAAATATCACCACACGGCAGCTGTGTTGGATAAAGTGCCATTTGGGTCACAAATGAATTCTGTCCATGGTCACTTTGGGTTACCAGCACAACTTGTCCATAGTCGCTGGCGTGGGCCAGTTCATAGTCACTAGCTTGTGGCGGGTCGAGGAGACATCCGGCATTCAGCGCCAGGTTCTACCCGGGAGTCGAAGGACTCTTAGGAAGGGATGTTGAGCCCCAGGGCAGATCTGGGTCCCAGGGCAACGCGACATGTGGCTCCTCCGTCCATGCGGCATGGAGCCTACTTCCCTGTTGCCGCTGCGATACAAGGTGCTGGGTAAAATACCTAGGGCGGAATCTGCTCTCCACTGCTGCTGCCTCCTGGCTGCGCTCCACACCTTGAGTGGCCGCTGCTGCTGCGGGCTACCGCTGCTGCTGCTGCTACTGTCCCAATTGCCGCTGCTCGAGCGACCCTCCTAAACCGCCCCATCTCCCTTCTTTCCCTGTCCCACATCCCCGTTCCAGATAAAGGCAGCGGCACCTTCATGGTATCTTCCTTGTTCATCTTGCCCTTAATACCAGCCTGCTCGCGTGCAAAGGCCACGACATTGTAGCCACGCTTCACAAGCTCCTTCACCACGAACTTGCCGATGTAACCTGTGGGGCCCACCACTAACACGCGCACGTCCTTGGGGTCGCGCTTGCGGAAGTCCTCCGCTGGCGCAGTGCTTGCGGCAACGCGGCAAGGCACACGGCCATTGCTACGAAATCCCCATGCAGATGCTGCCGATGCCGCCTTGTAGGTGAGCAAATGGACGAAAGGAACAGCAGCAGATTCGCCAAGCAAAGGCACAAGCGCACTCTCAGGCAAGAGTTCAGTAAACCTGCATGTCTGCAAGCTATTTAGCTATGATAACTAAAACCTTGCATCGTTTCATACTTATTTTGGCAATCGACTGCGGTTCACATGACTAGCGATGAAGCGGTACATTTACGCTAGCCTACCTTAATGTTGATGCCGCTAAAAGGTGCCGCGCTGCAGGAACGAAGGCTACCCTTACTGATGGGCACATGCGGCACGGCTTTTTGGCACCGGCCGGTGGCCTTGCCGGCCGTCTGTGCAGTGCTCGCTTTATAGTTCAGCATCGCTTATATAAAGAGCACAAACAGAGGCTAATAGCTGTGGCAAAGGCACTTGATTTTGGAAAGCTGTCCCCATTTCATCGCAAAACGGTACGGCAATCTGGTTTATGTATGCCTTGGTTTGAGTTCATGTAGCGCTCATAGCATGCGGCATAATTTAACTGATTCTGTTGGATTAAGTCTTAAACATTAAGGATCTAATGATCTCTAGATTATCGTGCTTTTGTCCTTCTCTCTATATGCGTCCGTCTTTAATGGAATGGTGGCGTCGCCCACTGTTCTTAGCAGCCTAACGTGCTTCGAGTGCGTCGTCACACGGCAGGGCTACCGTGGCACCCTCGAATGCGTTGAAACCTCTGCTTCTGGCTTTCAGGCCCATTCTGCAGGTTCGATCTGGTAGCCTCACCACGACTTCAGTTCGTACATACATCCCAAAGGGAAGCAAAGCTGTCAACCATAGGGAGGACACATCTTGAGGAAGGGGGGACCGTCTAGGCCCCTGACCCATAGCTACAAATTATTAAAGACATGACCGTGACGAGAAAATGTAGCGGATGCAACCAAACATGCAAACTGGGATATGGCCGGTGCCATGTTTCAGACTCCACGCCGTACATGGACAGATTCCAATACAACATTCAAGCCATGCCCATGAATACACCAAACTGCTGCAGCAACCCAAACTCAGAAAAGGCACCGCGCCGCCTCCGTCCTCGCAGCACCTCAATCCCAACCACGCGTCCAACTTAAACATGTGCTGCACGTGCTATCAGCACGATAAGGCCCACGGCCACTCCTATTGCCGTGTGTCCTCCGAGCACAAAACATGAGAGCAGCCATCAACCAGCTCCGAAATTTGACCTTAAAGACCTTTGGGACTCAAAAACTCCGGACATTGCAGTGTCTCAATTGGGCTATCGACTTGGTACACGGTTCGGGGCCGGCTTCCCGCACCTCATATCGAGATAGTCAGTAAGGTAAGAACCCCGTCCATCTTTTCCCTCTTCCCTCCATATCAGGTCGCTCCTCCCACACACGCGGGAATACAACCTTCGCACACAGCTGCAACCCTAAGTCAGCAACCCAATTCACAACCTCACGAAGCAAGCGCCACCACACCTGCGTACTCCCAACTGGGACCAAGGTGGTCTCAACCCATATGCCAAGTCTTGACAACCTCCGTCTCGACAACCACCCGGCAACGAGAACACAACTTGAGCTTGATTCCCTCCTCAGCTCTGCTTTGTCGCCACCAGCCGCCCAATAATTGGGTACTTGGAGTTGAACCTGGCAGTCCAGTCGCGCAGGTTCTCTAGCTCGGTGTACGACAGTCCTTCCAGGTTGTCATTGCAGTCCGTTTCCTCAGTGGAGAAGAGCGCAAAGGCCCGGGCCACTTCCTTGCCGGCGAAGGGGTACACGCCTGAGGAGCGGTTTGGCGAAGAGTGTCAACGAGTCAAAAACATGTTCCAGATCTTTGATCCTTTTGTTAGAAATTGTATAATATTGACATAACGAAATGATTATAAATAAAATGAGTTAGGCTTCTTGGCCAGGGGTCCGGAGGTGCGACACACAGGGCACGGAGGAGGAAAACGGTAGTGGGCGGGAAGGAGGGAAATCATCGACTGGTGCAGGCGGCGCAGCAGAAGAGCCGGAGAATGGTCGTGCGTCGTAAAGTGAGCTGCGCGGAGGCACAGGTAGGCACCTCAGGGATGGCCGAGCTGGACATTGATGATGATCTTGACGAGCCAGCCTCAACCGCCGGCGCCCCCGAGATAGCCTCCTCTGCTGCTGCAGTGCAGTGCTAAGCTCTAAGCGCGCTCTTCTATGCACACGCTTTTGCTGCTGGGAAAGCGTGGCCAGTGAGATCCGCAAGCCATGCATTGGTCGCTGTTGCTGCTCCTCATATGGTGTTGAATGTACCCATCAGCGGCGATCCAGACCACAGCCATGGGAGGGTTGTCAGGTTGGTCCATTCGTGTTTTTGTCCCGGTTGCACCCCATCCGGTCTCCCGATGGGACCTGAGCGCATCATCATGCGACCGGCGATACCGATCTACATGAATGGCCACCCGCCGAAAAAGGACACACGACCCGCCAACATGCCGAGGAAGGATGGTGGCTCACCGTCCGGCCCGTAGTAGTCCTTCCCCTTCGTGATGTCGTACACCACGCCCTTGATGGACAGGTACAGCGGCAACGACTTGTCCGAGCCGTCGTGCCGAGCCAGCTCCCCCGCTGTGAAGTCGCGCATTGGAACCACCTGGGGGGCGGACCGCCCGGGCACCGCAGGGTGTTAGGAAGGGACAGGGACAGGGGTCCCAGGGGGCACGACATTCAGAGGTCCAGGCTGCAAGGCTGCAAGGATGGGGGGATGTTTGAAAGACGCTGAGGGAGAGATGCTTGAAAGCGTTGTGCAAGTATGGCCAAGAAGAAGACCCCGCATGCGGAAATCAGCACGCCAAACGCAGCCACCGGGACCACTCGCCACAATCCTCAAGCCTTCGCCAACCTAGCCAAGGAGCAATCATTCCTTTCTTTCCCTTTTCTGGAGCTATAAACATCTCTCCCGTGATGCAGGCAACGCACGTTGCCTGACCCCCTCCTCGCCACGACAGGAAACATCTTGCACCCCTGGACAACTTCCCGGGGGTGCTGGTCTACCCTTCCTTTCTATCTCGCCACTGTTCTCGTCACCCCGTTCCCGACACAAACTGCATTCCTGCGCCGCACCACATCCTCCAACCGCCATTTCCTCCTCGCAGCTCAGATCGCTAAAAACGCACTAAACGCGCCCCCGGCCCCTCTGGCACTCCGGCCCAGGAGTCGCCTCTCACCTGACCCACGTGGTCGTGCAGGCGCTCGAAGTCCTGAACCGCCTGCTCTAGTCGCTGCAGCTGTTCCTCACTGAGCCCCTCCAGGTCGTCCGTAAAGTCCTTTTCATCAGTGGAACCTAGGGCCAGGGCGCGCGCCACTTCCCGGCCCGCGTACATGTTCTGTGGCTTGCCTGCAAACCGAGGGACCGCAGCAGCGTTGGACAGGGAGGAAGACGTCGTGCTGGGTTACGGAAAGGACCCGCGCCGAAAGTAGGGGGCAGCTGTCCCTGGCGGGTTCCAGGAGTGAAGTACTTATTCCGGATTACAAGCTGCGGCAGTTCCCCGCGGAAATCACATCATATGGCATGGAGCCGGTTAACCACACGAGAGAATAAGCATCCGGAGAGGCAGGAGCAAGTAGCACGGCAACGTAGCTAGGTCAGGGGAGACCGGTTGGGGTGTAGTCCCTCGGTCTGTGTAGTGAAAGATTCGTGCACAGATGTACTTGGACAGGTGCATTGGATGCCGGGGGGGGGGGGTAAAATTGGAGCCTAAGACGGCGGGGTGACGGGCGTTGGCGATGCAGGATGCCTCTCAATATAGCAAAATATTTGCCACATCAAGCAATTCAAGATCCCCCGTGCAAATACATCCCTAACCGAGGAACTAGCACGACCTCACAGCCGACAGCGTTACGCCGGGAAGCGCGGGAAAGAGTTCGCCACGAGCCCTGTCCTTACCTGGACCGTAAACATCATATTTGTTGCTAACGTCGTATACCTTGCCACGGACGGCGACCAGGGGTGGCCTGCTCCAGTCGTAGCCAGAGTAGAACCTAAGGGCCTCTAGAGTCACATCGCCCAATTCATACTTGGATGGCGGCAAGGGCTTGGGGCTACGAGAGCTTCGAATTATGAGCGCTAGTAAAATGAATACCACAGCGAGGACAACACCTGTCACGAGCTCCATTCTTAATGCTGCACACAGGTGTTTTGCCTTGCCTGTATGTAAAACACTGTCTTTTGCTACATTACCTAGCGAACCTAGGAGCATTAACCTCGCAATAAGAATGATGGTGCCGTACGGCGAGCGCGAAGTTGAGGAGACGCTCTCAGTAAGCTTGCCGAACACAATCGTAAAATGATCAAACATACACAATACGGCTCACATGTTCATGAAACGTAATGTTTTGACCAAGCTGTTAACGTCAATCCACTTAAGGTTCGCATGCTTGAGACCTAAGCCGCTAGCCGATGACTATCTGTAGCCCAACCTCAAGAGACATGACGTGTGGAGGTTAGGAACTATGAAAACATCGTCTTTAACTCAGCTGCGTTGATAACCGACACAATGCCCGAGAAGGGCAAAAATAAAGATGGGCTTCGGGTGGCGGGTGGCATACAGAAGAAGACAAATCGCAAGGAGGGAAATACTGGCGTTTCCGGTGCGTTGCAAGACGCCTAGTCGTAGGGATGGACCCGAGAGCGACGGCGCAACGGCGGCTCTGTGAGACGCGGCGCATACTTACCGGGGGCTTTACGCGTTGCGCAGGTCTTGAGTTCCATAAGAGCAAAGGCCAGCATATCTTGAAGAACCCACTGGTCGTGCAAGCCATCGTTGATAAGGCGGGCGTGAAGAGCACTGATGTGGTATTAGAAATAGGTCCTGGTACGGGTAACCTTACAGTCAAGCTGCTCGAGAAAGCAAAAAAGGTTATTGCGATTGAGCTGGACCCACGCATGGTGCGTCGCGTTGGGCTTGGGTTGGGTGGTGTTGACCGTACCGTTGCAGCCACCTTGACACGACGTCCCCACCTTCGTCGCGACGAGCACACTCCAAGTGCTCTCGCAGCAGCACGTAATTATTAAACACATGCACGCGTGGGGCTACGCCTACAGGCGCATTCGAATGGGGCCGGGGCTCATGGTCCTCTGCTCGGCATGCGCTGATCGATTGCAAGGAAAACAGAATCCAGCGGGCGGCAAGTTGCAGATATTCGCACGGGACTTGTAAAGCTGAGGCGTGTGCACTAGGAGTCCCCTGCTTTGGCGGACAGGGCGTTGACACGGGAATGGCTCAGCCGAGTCATGACTTAACAGCACCGCCTAGTACAGCACCGTCTGTGTAGGTAGCCCTTCCACGGAGTTTGGGAGTACCGCTGCACTACGATTACCGCCTCCATGGCGCTCCTCTGCACTTTCCACGTGACATTATCCAAGGACAAGCCCCGAAGCAATTGGAGGCTCGCCTGGGCCCCCTGCCCCGCCCCGCCCCGCTTCCCCTGGCAGGTTCTGGAGCTTCAGCGCCGTGTTCAGGGTACCGCCTATGCTAACAATCTGCAGGTGGGTAGAACTGCTTGAGTAGTGGCCCAAATCAGGTGGACGGAGGCCCTCAGGCGGGGCGGCGCTGTGCGGGGCGGCTCTGGCTCGCAGTTTACAACTCGGGGCCTGCCCGAGCGATGTTTGTTTGGTGGCCGCGTCAATGGGTGGAGCATAGCTTAGGCCTTTACTCCACTCCATGATGCAAACGCATGAAATTGCTAAAGAGGGCCAACCTTGATGCGGCCGTGCGCCGTGTGTTGGGGTGCGGTTTAATCTTGGCGGCCTTATGTGGAGGCAGAGGCACTTCCTGCCCGGTCAGCCTAGTTGCCAGCCAGGCGGGGCTGTTCCTGCTCCTGCTCCTGCTCTTTTCCTGCTTCCGTTCTGCCTGGCATGGTTTTGCACGGCCTCGCACTGCACTGCAGCCATCATCCCTGCAACTCACCTAATGTTTGAATTTTTCTGCACAAGTGCCGCGGACACAAATGCCGCGAACCCGATCATGTCTGCTAGGTGTTAACCGGAAGGATGGACTCCCCATTCTCCCCAGCTGTGTTGTGAGCTCTAACGCCTGCGCGTCTTGCCCCTCTTCGCCCCGCACCCACTCCTTACCCACAATCATACCCCCCCGCGCCCTCTCCAGATCATCCACGGCGACTTCATGCGCGTGGAGTTGCCGTACTTTGATCTGTGCGTTGCCAATATTCCGTACAACATCTCCTCGCCGCTGACCTTCAAGTTGCTGGCGCATCGACCTGCCTTCCGGGCTGCCGTCATTATGTACCAGCACGAGTTTGCGATGCGGCTGGTGGCCAAGCCTGGCGATCAGCTCTACAGTCGGCTGGCAGTTAATACGCAGCTCCTGGCGCGTGTGAGCCACCTGCTGAAGGTAAGTTGCTGCGTGGTGTGGGAACGTGCGGCAGGGGGGTTCCGCCGGGGGCGATGTTGGAGGGGCAGTGACGACGGCCTGCTATCAAATGTCAGGGACGGGTGTGTGCTGACGGCTGCTGCTGCTGGCGACTGTGGCGGCGGCGGCGGCGGCGGCAGTCCCAAGTCGGATGGCAGTCTCGCACGAAGCAATGAAGAAGGAACTGCACCAGTCAATAAGTTTGACCCAATCGACCCCTGGTGGGTCCTGTTCTCCCGCAGGTGGGTAAGAACAATTTCCGGCCGCCCCCCAAAGTCGACTCGTCCGTCGTGCGAATCGAGCCACGCCACCCGCCTCCGCCCGTCAATTTCCTGGAGTGGGATGGGCTGGTGCGCCTGTGCTTCAGCAGGAAGAACAAGACGCTAGGTGGGTCGGTGACCAGGTGCAACTGGCCTAGCTGAGTTGCCTAGCTGCTCTCCTGTCCCCAAACCCTCTCGCCGTTTTGAGCCGATACTTACTGGTTACGGGAATGGAATAGGGTTGTGTTGTGTTCTGTTGTGTTCTAACCTCAGCCTCCTCTGCGGCTTATGCGTCTCCGAGGAGTATCTGCTCCGTACCTGCTGTTATGCCGCGCCTGAGCCCTCGCCCGGTGTGTTTCCTTCACTCCCACGTGCTTACCCCCCTGACTGACTTGCTGATCTACGAGTTGCCGTCCCTGGCAGTACTCTCAGAGTGGGGGTTCGGACCTGGAAATGGCTTGGGCGGGGTGCCTTGGGCCCGTTTCCCTGGGGCCGCACAAGTCGCCTCGATCTCGATGCCACCGTGGGAACCATGCTCCTCCGGACCGCTGCACCGACGGCTATCGCACGGCAACTGATCAGCCCACAACGGTACGCCTGCGCCGCTGCGCTTCGTCCGCAGGTGCTATCTTCAGGCAGACTAATGCCCTCCAGGCGCTGGAAGCTAACTACCGGACATATCAAGCTCTGCAAGGCGCTGGCGGCGGCGTAGCCGGAGCTGGCGGCGCTAGCGGCGGCGGCGGCGGCATTCAGAGCCTTGGCGGTGCGGCCGATGACGACGCCATGGACCATGACGGGGATGACGAGATGGGTGATGATGAGATGGGCGATGATGACGCAATGACGGTTGACGGCGGCCCGTCGGCGCGCGGCAAGAACGGAGGCGGGCGAAAGGGCGGTGGCCGGGTCAGCCCAGAGTTCAAGGAGCTGGTCATGAAGGCGAGTTTTCCACTTTGCCTCTGCGGCTCTCTCGTTAGCCTTGTGGTGCCCCCGGTGTTACGGGTGTCTGTGCAGGACGCCTCTCGCTTTGCACCTGATGTGGGAATGGCTCTTTCCTAACTACTCACTCACCCACGCCCTACCAGCAACATCCATATTCCCTTCCGCCATGCGCGCACGATACCCAACCGTCAGGTGCTAACCGACAACGGTCTGGACACCAACCGCAGCAGCAAGATGACCCAGGAGGAGTTCCTGCAGCTTCTGGCGCTGTTCAACGAGGCAGGGATACACTTTGCGTGACTGTACGGACGTCGTGGGGTGTTGTTCACTTGTGTTGTGACAACATCATCGCATGTCTGGGTTGTCCTGACACGATCCGACTGGTGTGTGCAGGATGGTGGGTTCAGAGGCGGGATAATGCTGCTCTGTACACGTTCCGGATCTGCGTATTGTTTACTGTTCCAATTCTGTAACAGTATGCAAATACATGGGTGCGGTACCCAGGCGAGCAACGACCCAGGGTTTGTGTGGCGGGTTTGTCGGCTCATCGTGGAAGGGGAAGTCGAGCTTCCAACCCGCGTCGCGGCCTGATGCCGGCGTGCATGCATCTGTGCGTATGTTGGGGCATGACAGATGTTCTTGAGGGGTTGCTGAGTGTGTTACGGTCACCCGATGCTGTACTGAGTGTAGCGAATTGTGGTGGAGGTCTAAAAGTCAGGAGTTTGTGCTCATGGGAAAGGTGGCAAAGCGCATGAGGAGTGAAGGGTAGTGCGTTAGGGGTACTGTGGGCGACAGCGGCCTTCAATAGTCGGTTTCGGAGCCGCGCTATTGTGGGAAGTTACAGATTTGTGCGGGGATATGGGTGTCGCTTTACACAGAATGGATTCAACTACTGTATTTATGAATATGCTCTGCAGCACCTTTCAAAGATATAGGCAAGTGGGGATTTAGTGCGGATCGGGTCATTCGCACGTTGCCGACAACAACTAAGATGAGGACGGACGTGGAGGCGGGCGAGGTCTCCCGAGTGAGGGAATAGGGATGTGCACAGGCTTCGTTTGAACCTGCACCAACATGCACAGTCTAAGACAGAATGACACGAGCAACGCCAAGCGCACGGGTGTTCCAACGGAAAAAGCCGCCAGCCCCGACGACAGCGCACGACAGCGGAAAACACTTTAATCGCTACTATTGCTGCGAAGTGTTAAGGAGACCATTCGTTAAGCATGTTGAATGGTCTCCTTGACACTTCTCAGCACAAAGCATAATTATAAGGCGAAATCTGGAGCACCGCACGATGTGACACATGGCACAGAAGCAACACGATAGTGTGCCTAACAAAGTCCGTGTGAGCAGCCAAAAGTGCCCAGAGCATAGGAACCTGATGCAATTGATGAATAAAAATTGAAAAGGCCTTGAAGGCTTAGGACATTTTGACTCCGTAACCAATTTACCAGAGCTAACCACTTTCCCACCACTGCTCAGGGCCTGCAACAAAATTATCAACACTAAACAAGGGAATTTTCTTCGGACATCTTAAGGGGGGCCGCCGGTGATCAAAGAGGAATCATGCCCCTGGCCTGCTAAGGGGCTTGTCAGGCAATACCACAAACATTCACGCGCTACGTGCCCCACACGCCAAAACACTTTAGCAAACTCCACATGCTCATGCTGTACGGGTTATCTTTCCGGTAACGACGTAGCCAACGCGCAACCTCGACAATAGCAACTGCACGCGCGAAAGGCGCCTCAGGGCAATTAATACGTTATCAGAGGTTAAAGTATTCACTCTCACAAGCCCAATTCTTGGTGTGGGACGTGTGGATAGCATGAATTGATCCTAATGAAGTGTTTATCCAAAGAATTTATAATCGCGGCCGGTATAAAGTCCATAAACCCATAAAGTGGTTAAAGCATATAGCCATAAAGCCAAGCGGTTGACAAATTATTATAAGTATGCATGATAATGCTATTAACCTTGGTTACTACCAAATACCCCCGCCTTCCCTGGTCCACACCCCCCCCACACACACGCGCGTACTGGAATGCCCTTTTTGAGCAACCCAACACCCTTTCCCAACCGACAATTCCGGTGGCCACCTAACCAAGAGGGGAGTCTGCCAGGCCTGCCAACCGTTGGCATACGATACAATTTGGCAATTTCCTATGAGCCACTTATCCGTACAGTCCGCAACCAGCCAACGGATTGAGTTATACATATTCGCTTTCATGTTCAAGTTTGAAGTTTCGACAGCGCAAGAAGCTAGGGCTGATTGACAGTTTCAAAGCAATTAGGATTGAGATTTCAGTCGGAGGCTCCTCCGTGCTCAACGATACGGACATCGCTAAGATCCAGCCCCTTAGGGCACCGGATGATTGATAAGCCAGTGTCGCCACCGCCAACCGCCAACGCCAACGGCATATGTAGCCTAAATCCGCAATAACGAATATATGCACAACTATCGCCAAACGGCGGTATCAAAGGTACCAAAGCCTGCGCCATGTTCCACCCTTTTGCCTGTCCACCCGTATGTACGTATGTCGTGCTTCAACTAGGTGCTATCTTCCGTCCCCTTTGCTGCACTACCCGCGCGCAGCTCCCCCGCAGCGGCTTGCAGTACCAGCTGCCGCCAGCCTGGGCGGGTGCGGCCCTTGTCGGAGGCACCGTCGGCACCGTCGGCGCCGCCAGTGCTCTGCGCCGCAGGGTCCTCCTGCGCATCCGCAACAGATCCCAGCAGCGCTGCAGGAATCTCGAAGCGCAGAGGAAGGGCTCCAGGCCTCACGCGCCCAGAACTGGGCCTGGACGGTGCTCCGTCGGCAGCTGTGCCTGCGTTCGGTCTGTCGGCAAAGACAGCCGCCGCTGACGGCGCTGTCTTTGAATGGTCCCGGAGATCTTGATCGTTAGGTGGGGCATGCAGGCGCGCGGGAACCTCGTAAGGCGGCTCCTTTCCCTTCATCCCGTTCGGCCAGGCGCTGCCTGGACGGGGCTGTGTCCCCGAGGCGGGCAACAGCAGCGGCGGCAGCGGCGGCTCTGCGGTCGTCGTAGAAGTCGGCACCCATGCGGGCGACGGCTGCGGCAGCTGCTGCGGTGACGGGGACTGGTTGTGCTGCGGCTGTTCGTCCGGCTGGGCCGCAACGGTGGGGTCAACAGCGCCGCCACCGCCGCCACCATTGCCATCGTCAGCGACGCCGCCACCGCCGCCACCGCCGCCACCATTACCACCGTCAGCGCCGCTGCCACCGCCGCCACCATTGCCATCGTCAGCGCCGCCGCCACCGCCGCCGCCATTGCCATCGTCAGTGCCGCCGCCACCGCCGCCAGCGATCGGTAAATTATTAAAGCTCAGCAGTGCGAAGGTGTTCGTCAATGTATCCCCAGCCATGGGATTGTCCTGCATGGCCGGCAGGCCGCCGCCGGAGGAGGCAGGCACAGCCTTGCCAGGGTTGCTATCCATAATCAGGTCACGCTGCGCTGACGTGGCCCCTGGGCCCAACTCACGTGGCTGGGCCCTACGTACGACTTGCACACGGTACGGACCGCTGCCGTCGTTGCCGCCAATGGCGGCGGCAGCGGCCAACACGGCCGCAGCGGCAGCAGCAATCCGTGCGTCCTCGGTGACGGAGGCGTTGGGCGACATGTGAGTTTCTAGGCTGGCGTCCGCCGCCGCCACGCGTTCGGTTCGCTCAAACAGGGTGCCGACGGAGAGGCTTTGCCGCGTGACGTCGTTGGTGTCTGATATGGTGTTCAGGGTCTGCAGGACGGTGCTGGGCGGCGGTGGGGGCAGGAAGGTGTCCAGCAACCCAGGGTCCGCAGTCTCATCCTCACCGGTCACGGCGGTCGCATTCGAGGTGGCGGTTGCGGCAGTTGCAACCAACGGCCCCACCCGCACTACGCGGGGCGTGGACTTGCTACCATCAGCAGCGCGGCCGTCAGGAACAGCTGCGGCAGCTGTAGCGGCGGCGGCGGTTGGGTTGCGCGGCGGCGGCGGCGGCTCGTCCTCCGTACGATGCTGGCTTTCCATCGTTAATGGCACTAACGATGCCAAGCGTGTTGAGTTTGGTGATCGCGGCGTTACCGGTAACGCACCGCTCCGCAGCTCCGGAATAAGTGGGGATGCTGGACTGTAGCTGCTGTCCGAAGGTCCCGAACCGGCGGTAGAGGCAGCGGAGGCGGACTCTTCCAGCGGCTGACGTGTCGTAATGCGCACCTGCGCCACACGTTCCTTTGCAAACGGAGCGCCGGCGACCATGACGTTGTGTCCCCTTGGGACCGAAGGTGCGCTATCATCGCCGTCGTCATCGGGCGTGGGGAGGGATGCCGGGTACGCGCGGGGGCTGGGCCCGTCACGATCAACCTGACCTGTGACCCGTGGGTCAGGGGAGATGCTAATGTCGGGGCTGTTGCCAGGACCGAAGGAAAGCTGTCGAAGACGAGACACAGCAGCGCGCAGCATCGGCTGGGACCTTGCCGGATGCGATCTGAGTTGTTGGACTTGAGAGCCGTCCGCGGCTTTGTTGTGACTTTCGGAGTTGCCGCTGCCCCGTTCGCCGGGTGTTGGACCCGCCGGGGATGCCGGTCGGCTGCCGCTGCCCCGGCAAAGGGTGCGCCCAGCCTGCACGGTCGCGTGGGCGGTGTCGACAGGGTTCGAATCCTCCACCGTAAAGACGGCCTCCAAGGCGGCTGCCGCCGCCGCCGCTGTAGCGGCGGCTGCCGCCGCCGCGGACGTGAATGAACGGGCAGGTTGGATGGGGGACCCAGCGGGGACCCGGGCGCTATCCTGCAGGGCCCCGCCTGGCTCATTCCGTACAGCCGACGACATTTTCATGAAGCTGCTGCTATGGAACAGGGTCCGTACGGTGCCATCGCTGGCGGGGGCGATGCCCAGGGTGCTGCTGCGTGGAAGCCCCGCACTCCACCGCAAAGTCTCGCCGCTCAACCGCCAACCGTTACGCCGCGCCAATTCACTCCGCTCTTGCTGCTGCTCGTCGGCGTCGGCGTCTGCGCCCGTCTTGGTTAGGGTGACAGCGGTTTGAGTCGCACCAGGTGGCACGCAGCCAGTGGCGGCACTAGCTCCTGACCAACCGCCAACCGCCGTCCCGGTCCCGTGCGATCGCATGTTCGTGCGCGTGAGTGGGCTGCTGTGCACGTCTCGCGACATCGAGGCCGACATGACGTCGCGACTTCGCGGACTCGGCAGCGGGGAGCTCTCCTTCGGGGCCGTCCAGTTCGGCATCGGCCGCGGTGCGGCACCAGGTTCATCAGCACTACCGGCGGCAGCGGCCACACCGCCGCCCTTTCCCGCCACTGGCGGAGGCGTCAGCTGTCCAACCCACGCCACTCTGGTTGTGTTGCCTGCGACCGTGAGCTGGTTGGGGATCTGCAGGGCTGGAGGCCGCTTCTGCTGCGGAGTTGGCAGCGGCGCCGATGACCCGGTGGATGAGCCTTCTGGCGGCGTCGCCGGGACCCTATTGGATGGTCGTGAACCTCCACGGCCCAGTAGAGACTGTCTGGAACCTTCGCTCCGTAGCCCCGCGAGGTTGAGGAAGGCGGAGCGGGAGCTGCTGAGGATTAGGGGGCCACTGGCGGCGGTGGTGGCGGTAGCGGCGGCCCCGCTGCCGCCGGGGGCAGCGGCGGTGGCTATTGCTACGTCCCCCGTGTCGACGGAGCCGCGGCGGAACACAAAGGCGGCGGGGCCTGACGCGGGGCCCGCGTTTCGCAACGGCCCTACTGCTGATGTGGTGGCAGGCCTTTGACCTGGCGCTATCATGGCTGCTTCGGCGCCCGCGGCGGCGCCGCCGGCTGGGACCGCCGGAGCTTTTCCAGAGGATGAGAACAGCCTCGCCGCGAATGCACCCAGCCGGTCCTCTCCACTACCACCACCGCCGCCGCCGCCGCCGCCGCCAGCGCTGTGCATCGCGAGGATGTCGCTTCCGAGCAGCAGAGGCACGCTACTGCGGCGGCGGATTCGGTTGCGTGCAGAGGCGCCAGGGGCGGTGGCGGCGGCTGCAGCGGTGGCGGCCAGGCTGCGAGGGGCATTCCCTAGGATGCTAGAACGGCGGCCATGTGGCCTTGCCGATGCAGTATCGCCACCGCCACCGCCGCTGGGAACTTCGATGCTGCCTCGCGACCGCAGGATGTCAGCAACGACAACACCACCGCTATCGATGCCGTACGTAGCACTGCTGTTGCCGCCGCCGCTGCTGAGTCCCGGCGGCTCTATGTCCATTGGGGCTCTGGGTACTTCGGAGCCATTCGCCGCCGCGGCAACGCTCAACCGTGCGCTTGCATCACTGCCGCCGCCGCCGCCGCCAAGAGGCGAAAGGGCCCCGGCGGGGCCGGAAATTGCGCCTGACACGGAGCCGCGTGCGACGGACGGGAAGACCGATGGCGGGGACGTGGTGTGCTGCCGCAAGGGGGATCCAGGGATGGCGGCGACGGAGGCGGCGACAACTGTGGCACCAGCGCCAGCGCTATCGGCACCTCCCTTGATGAGCCGGCTGCCCTGCCGGCTATCGCTGCGGAGTCCTAGGTTGGCGCTGAGCCGTCGGCTGATGCGGATGCTGACATCTCTGATATCACTGAGTTCGGGCGAGCGCCCCGGGTCTGTTTGCTCCACCGGTGGAGACACCGCCATCGTCGCCGCGGCAGCTGCGTCCGCCGCCGCGGCTGCAAGTGCCGCCTCCCGGTCTGCGGGGTCCAGCGCCGGCAGCGCCACCACAGTGTTACCCTGAAGTACAGCCGCGCGCGCCTGAGCCGCAGTGACGGCGTGGTCCTCGCGGTACCGAGCACGGGATGTGAACCGGCGGCCTGCCGTACCGAGCACGAAGCAGCCCGTGAACAAAAGGATCACCCCGATGGCCACCACAACCCAGACCCAGGGGGCGATCTTGGAGCTTCTAGAAACAGCCCCAGCGGCAGCGGCAGCGGCGGCCCCCCCCGGCGCCTGCGGTGGTGGCGGAACAAGATCTGTAGCCAGCTGGCCTCGGCCCCCTGGCGGATCTGGCAGGGCGGTTGCTGGAGGTAGCGGCGGAGGCCGCGGGTCGAGGAGAAGCGCCGGTGTCGCTGGTGATGGAAGCCGCGCTGATAGCACAGCCTACGGAGGCAGGGGCAGGGGTATAGGTGTGTAGCGGTAAGGGCAAGGGTAGGCACTGGCGCCGGCGCAGCGGGGAACATGCATATGTGCTCCCCAAGTGCCCCGCTAGCGAGCGTGAGTCCAGCAAAGACATGCGTGCTCACACAACAGGGTTCGGGACCTACCTCTTGCTAGTACGACACAGTGCGAGCACAGGTTCACGTGCTTAACTGCATCGCAGCTATGTGGTGGAAGCTCCATGCGCTCCAACTCAGTCGTGTTGAGTACTAGTGTACTTAAAGGCGCTAAACAGTCTTGTTGTTTGGGGAGCACAACGCAGGGGGGGAGCACAACGACCCGGCAAACAGCACCACCGCCCACTGCTGTGTTCATGACACGTTCAGGCAGAGCAAGGCGAACTGACGCAAGTGATAATCCTGTTGTACAGTGTCGTACGCACCTGCACGCGCACCGTACTACAGCGCTCTGAAACCCGCACACCGCACACACCCAACAGCCCAACAGCCATCACCCGCAGCCCAAACAAATCCCCCCCGCACCCGGCGGTCCTCTGCTCACTTCAGAGAGCCATATTTCCAGTCATTCAGCATCCAGCCAGGTACGACAGCAATCATCAGGTACGACAGTTATAAAGCACTGTGACGGCTCTCACCTCTTGTATCCGCAGCAATGTGGCCGCCCCCAGGGGTCCGCAGAGCCCGGCAGCGGGGTCTGAGGGCAGCAGCACAATCGCCGCTGTGGTGGTTATCCGGGCAGCGCGCCGTGGGGCTGAAGAGCCGCACAACCTGCATACATACATACGCCGTTAAACCCCACCCAACGCTTCTTAAAATGGATCCCCAAAAGAAGTCCCCATAGAGCCCGCAACGAGCACCTTGGAATTGTCAAGCCGCCCGTTATGGTAAAACTACTGCACCACGCATGCCCACAGCTAAGCAGCTGCAGCACATCGGTCTCCTAGGGCCATGTACACGGAGGAGGAGGAGGAGCCATGGCCTCCGGTGCCGCCGTCACAAGAAGTGTCCGCACGTGCTCATGCTCATGCTCACTCACCCGACAGGGGACCCAGCTGTGCTCTGCAGCGCGGCCTCCAGCAGCGACAGCACCCCGGCAGACCCTGACAAGCCCCCTGAGCTGTTCCAGGATGCCGCAGTCAGCTGCACCGTTATGTTGACCCAACCGGACGCCGAGCTGCACGACAAGAGTGCATTGGCGTTGATTCCGCCGCTGCTACTGCCCCATTGATCCGAAGGAGGTGCAACGACGGGCTGAGACAGGAGGGGAAATGTGGTGGGACTGAAAGTGCTACTGCCAGCCTGAGAGTCGTAGTTGCAAGAGACGCTGACTTGGGAGTCATTCCAACCCGGAATTGACGTAATGGAGGCACTGTACGACGCCTGCAGCGTACTGCAACCTGGCCGCGACGCGGTGTCAGTGTCCGGCGCCAGTAGTAACCGGTACGGCACATACAGCTCGTACGATAGTACTTCGGCGATAACGAAACAAGTCAGCAAGTCAGGCTGGCTCATGACTGCCGCCCGGAAGGACTCAGCGTCGATTTCTTCATTAAACGTGACAAGTGTTGTGGTATTCGGAGCTGTAGGCGATGGTGGCGATGGAGGAGTTGGAGGAGGATTGGGATTAGGCGGTGGGCTAGGCGATGGTGGCGGTGGCGGTGGCGAAGGATTGGGATTACGGCGGTGGGCTAGGCGATGGTGGCGGTGGCGGAGATGGTGGAGATGGCGGAGGATTGGGATTACGGCGGTGGGCTAGGCGATGGTGGCGGTGGAGGAGATGGTGGAGATGGCGGAGGATTGGGATTAGGCGGTGGGCTCGGAGCTGAGCGATGGCGGCGGTAGAGGAGATGGCGGAGGATTGGGATCAGGCGGTGGGCTCGGCGATGGTGGCGGTGGAGGAGATGGCGGAGATGGCGGAGGATTGGGATTAGGCGGTGGGCTCGGCGATGGTGGCGGTGGAGGAGGTGGCGGAGATGGCGGAGGATTGGGATTAGGTGGTGGGCTCGGCGATGGCGGCGGTGGAGGAGGTGGCGGAGATGGCGGAGGATTGGGATTAGGCGGTGGGCTCGGCGATGGTGGCGGTGGAGGAGATGGCGGAGATGGCGGAGGATTGGGATTAGGCGGTGGGCTGGGCGATGGTGGCGGTGGAGGAGATGGCGGAGATGGCGGAGGATTGGGATTAGGCGGTGGGCTCGGCGATGGTGGCGGTGGAGGAGATGGCGGAGATGGCGGAGGATTGGGATTAGGCGGTGGGCTCGGCGATGGTGGCGGTGGAGGAGATGGCGGAGATGGCGGAGGATTGGGATAGGCGGTGGGCTCGGCGATGGTGGCGGTGGAGGAGATGGCGGACTCTGGCCCCACGATTGGGATCGGTTACGAGTGTTGCCTGGTAAGGTGTTGATTCATTAAGGCATGTAATCCCTAAGACCGCAATCGTCTGCAGCTGGTAGCGTTGTATCGTGTACGACAGAGTGATGTTGATGACTTGTCGACTACAGCCGCTGGCATCCAGTCCTGTCAGGTTCACCTGTGTATATGCATGAATGGGGAATGGGACACCGTGGGTACACCGTGCCAGGCGCAGATATATCGTCCAGATAAAAGGTACTGTTTGATACAGATCCGTTTCTGCTACGGTTTGAAATCCTGAGTCGCAAATGTTGCGGCAATTTCGAGTCGTCCGGCTACCTTCAATCTATCAGGAAAAGGTCAAAAGTGTGTGCTCATGGCGCCAGTAGCATGCAGCCCGGCACAGCGAGGGACGGCCATGGCATCTCCCAAGCGTACAAGCTGACGCATCGGGGCATGCTTAGATTATCAACTTGCTGCGTAGCGGCGTGCCTACAATAATACAAAACTGCGCCCCGCTTTCCCCGGCGGGCTTTTGCGCTTGCAAAGCAGTGTGAGTGCAATCCAGTACGTTGGGCGGATGCCTACGGAGCTGTGCTTAGCATCAGGTTCTGATTCCGGAGGTCTAACGTGTTGAGAACCTTCGAGATGAATGCAACAGGGCATTTCTCTCCGGCGCATCTGCAGACCCTGCTTCACAGGGCACATAGACATACATCCACACCTGAAACGAGTAACAGGTTGATTTGTTGGTAGGCATGTATACGGACGACAGAGTGAGGTTACCGCCGCTGCCGTACTGAACGGAAAGGTTCAGTGGCGCACCGGCAACCAGCATCCAGTTACATGAGAGCTTTAAAGTGGCAGTCAGAACTTGGCCGTCGGAGCTTCGCCAAGCCAGCAGCTCTCCTGCGGCTGTTGAATTACCATCAGGCGCCGGCACAGTTGTACTGCCGTATGGACTCCAACACATAGAGCTCGAGGAAACCTCGCCATCCGGATAAGGTAATTGACATACTGCGCTGTTCGAGCCCAGGGCGTCTGCGGTCTGCGATTGTGGCGGTAAGTCACGTGAGCAAATCAGGCCGCGGAAGCTGGCCAAGGCATCGGTACACAGCTTTTACTCACGTAGCACTTGTCAATGGAAAAAAAACTTGTGTCGCATGCATTACAAGAGGACGCGGTCGAGGTGCAATAGCTGTACGAGTTTGCAAGAAGCCTCCTTCCGTGGTGCAGCTGGGGCACTAGGGTGTCAGCAGTAAAGACCGAAAACGGTTCGTTGGTAAGCTGTAAGGCCTGCACGCCGCCTGTGCATTGTTGGAGGACTAAGAAGGTGCTTATCCAGCAGACAGATACGTCGAGCAATGAGCAACGTAGCTTACGACACATAACGCCGTGAGCACAAAGTGTAATTGCAAGACGGAAAGTATCGCAGGATAATTTAGCCTCCAGTCGAATTTTGCTCAGCTGGTGCTTTACACCATATAGTAAACGTACTGCCTCAAAAACTATAGCACCAACTGCCTGCTGAGAATGACACGACTCCTAACCACTGTTTTATCCTACTCGGGGTTTCTTTGGTTTCTGTCCAGCCAGGGGCGTCGTGGATAGTTATCGTAATGCAACTACGAACTCATTACTTATAGGGTAAAGCTGCCCAAGTTAACTGCATTAAGTGACTTCATAAGTAAATGGTGTTTTTGGTAACCAGGGCAATGCCATAAATGCAGTGCTTCTTTACATGCAGCCACCATTTCTCCAGTGAAAAGGATACGCCAAGGTTCCAAAGCTAAAATCAATATTTGATCCGTACGCAAACAAAAAGACCACAAGGTTCCATAAGCGCTCTGCGAACCCTGCCGCCTGCTCTCGCGGCCTTAGCTTAAGAACTCCCAGACCTGGCAGACTTAGCCATCGGCGGGCTTTGTAACCTTATGTCATATTGGTTGAGAAAATCCTATTCCTGCATGAAAATGGTGTTGTGCGGTGCTGGTGAGTCTTACCATTAACTGGAAAACCGACAACCTCAAAGTGCAAAAAGTCGCCTTGCGTCATAAAATGGCCATCTGACATTGAAACAGATAAGGCAAGAAAGCCGAGTACATGTTGTAGGTGCTTGCGACGTAGGTCGAATCCAGCGTTGGCAGGGCAAGCAGAGGGTTATCGCTATCCTTTCACGTTTCCGCCTTGTCTATAATGCCTAGAGTCTTACCAGTCGCCTTAAAGGCTAACACCAGATGCCTGGGTGGTTCTTGCGCTACCGCAGCGTGGTCGTGTGAGGCTCGCGTACATCATCAGCAGGTGTGGCTGATGTCTGCCCCGCCGGGTATTTAACAGTACGTTTGGGATGTGTTGGTCCTAGCCACCGTCAGCGCCATGGAACGAGGCCACAGATTGATGGCGGCTGCGATGCGAGCAGATGCATCCCGAGGACCGGGACCAATGCTCGTAGAACAGGCCATTTGTGAAGCATTGGTAAACATTCTGGGTACATCTGAGGAGTTTTACGACTCTGGGCTTGCCTTCAAAACGGTGGTCAGGTGTCCATCTTAGACACACCATTCTTCGCGTTTTTCGGGCGTCCTCTTGTGTGAGGCTCCACATGAAGCTATGCTTCATATTAAGATATCGTTACATCCTTTGCCGCATCAGTGTTGCTTTTACTTACTGGCTGCCTTGCGGTCGCGCATGTCCTTTTTTTCAGCCGCGGCTCGCTGTTACCCTTAGGGAGTAGCCTCTCTTTGGAACCGCTTCTTGAGGGCCAACAGGGCCCCTATTTCCCCCTTGAGTGGTGGGCTGCTGAAGCATACCATACACCTCTCAGGCTTCGGGGTGAGCTGCATTGCTGTTAAAGGTGTGCGTTCTCGTCTCAGGGTTCCCAGTACTGCAGTGCGCGGTCCGCCGTGGCTTTAAGGAACTAGACGCTGTCTTTACCCCGAACTTCAAATCATTGGTACTGTTGCGCGTAATGTAAGGGAGAACTGGGAGGCTATTTCAGCATCGTGGTAGTTAACCATTACATCCATCATGACATCCGTATCGCTGAGGGCACTGGAAGACGTCGCGTCGCGTCTGCTTCCTATGGGTACGAGATCAGGCCTGGGAGCAGTCGAGGCTCTCTATACTGGGCAAGGGCGCCGCAGGAAACAGCGCAGACCGCACATTGGGGTTCGCGAGACAAGGCCCTGAACATAAGGCCCTTTAAGCATTCTGTAGCTGTACGGAGAGCCGGAGAATGGCATGGGCTCCCACGCGCTCTGAGCTCAGATCCTGTGCTAAATTACTAGACAGCAGCAATGGGTGGAAACACGGGCTCGAGGGACATACATACATTCACATGGGCGCTGTGGACGTCTTGAATCCGGCATTCCGGCAGATGCAGGTAGCCTGCGGGATATAAGACCTGCCGTTGAAAACGCAACGTCCACAGCCCAGAGCGACCCGCTTCCCTCCCTGAAAATCTATCGCGACAACCGCCGCCCCAAGCCGCATAAGCACCGAATGACCGCACCCCCGGATGGCCACCCAGGGAACAGATCACCCTACCCCGGGGGGCACCAAGTCACCGGGCCTCTAACGACGACGAGGCCATGTACTCGAGATCAATCAATTGTACCCATCAATGGCCCCACACGTGCAACCCAGATAGGGTGCACGACGAGGCGGAGGACCACTCAAGATGGAAACAAATACCCAAATGTTATGATGCCGCCAACGGCGGGAAGATCAACCATGTTGGCAGGCACTAAACCAATCCGACGAAATGCGCACGGCCCCCCACCGGGTAGGACACGCTCCCTGCACTGGCCCCGGCGAAACAGTCCCCACTCTTCTTTGACTTCCATGGCTAAGAAAAAACCCAAGGAAGGTTTCCTTGGCTTCCCTGGGTGCTCCTGGGTCAGATCTTCAAAAGTCGATGACGAAGCAGCAGCAGCAGCAGCAGCAGCTCCAGAAGCTGCATCCCGCCAACGAGTTCCAAACAAATCACCAAAGAAAGCGCGCAACGCTGCCATCCGCGAAGCGGTACGGGCGGTACAGAAACATGTACATCGTCACCACATTTATTGTGCCGTACATCATCAGCAAGGCACCGGCCTGAAGGCCGCCGGGGGGCTCCAAGCGTGTTGCGATGAGGACCAAGCCGGGCGTGAAGTACCTGGGTAAGGGTGATGGGTGGAATCCAGGGGTTGTAATTTGTGGATTGGAGACGGCGTAACGGCATGGAACTAGGCAGTGGATACAGTGGATCGGAACTTGTAGGGCGAATGTTGGTGGGGGCGGGCTGCTGCGCCGTGCTGTGCTATATGCACATGTGGTAAGATTATCATCAGTGACTGGTGCTGCCCTGTGACCCACCTGAGCTCCAGCAGCCAGGCCGGCAGCAGTTGTGCAACCAGGCAAGCCACCAGCCCGGCGACCCATGGGACGGTCATCCGGCGGAGCAGCCCCGCCAGCAGCAGCGCCCATGCCGCCGCGTAGGCCGGCGCCAGGAGGTACTTGGCGGCGGGGCTGCGGGCCAGCAGGCGGCGCCACAAGTAGAACACGTAGTGCCTGCGAGCGAGTAGCGTAGTAGGGGTAGTAAGGGTAGTAAGGGTAGAGGTGAGCTAGTGAGGGCAGTAACAACAATATCAGGTAGTAAGATAAGGGTGGTGAGGGTAGTAAAAAGAATGCTGCCAAGGTGTATAGTGACCATTCGGGGGACCCTCCAAGAGAGGCCTATCCAGCTAAAGATGGGGATGGGAACCGCCGGGGGGAGCAGCGGCAGCGGCAGCGGCGGCAGCAGAGCTCGCGTGTCTGCGGATGACGGCCAAGCCAGTCAAATCGGACGAACACAGCCGGCTAACCGCGTAAGGCCCTACCGGTTATCTGCGAGAAGGTAAGGATGCACCAACGTTGACACGTGGCCCACGGCCGCCGTGGCAGCCACCGCCGCTGCCGCCGTCAGCAGCACCGCCCGCGGCCGCCGTCTAGCAGCGCCGTACAGCAACCTCATCGCACCCGGCACCAACTGCGGGCCCAACATGAGCGCCGTCCATCCGCCAAAGTACAACAGCTGCGCACCGTGCCGTACGGCTCTATGCGCCTCCTTGTCTCCGAGGACGACCGATCCTCGGTTCGCGATGAGGAACGCCGCAAAGCCGGCGGGCGGCAGCAGCAGCGGCCACAGCCGCGCCGCCAGCTGGGTGCGCTGCCGCCATATTCGGCTCATCGCTAGCAGCAGCTCCGGAACCAGCCCACGGCCTTTAGCCACCCCTCCCGGAAGCCGTCGCGGCCCGCCGCCGTTGCCGTCGCCTTGGAGCCGCCGCGGCGCCTGTGCATGCGCCCAGTCCATCCCCACTTCCGCCAGCACCGCCTCGCCCAACAGGAACGCCGCCCACACGGCGTTGGTCTGTCGGCACAGCACTGCCATTGAGCCGGCCAGCGCTGCGAGCAAGTAGCGCCGTCGCGCCCCCTATGCAGCGGCGCCAACGCAGCCGTACGTGGAGGGGGCAAGGTTGGAGCTAGGGGGGGACGTGGGTACACCCAGCAGCCGCCACCCAGTAAGAAGGTGTGGAGGTGAAAAGCAAAGATCCTGCTCCCCCATCTTTCTTACCCTCAAGTAAAAAGTGCTGGCGACAGTCGCCCTGTCGTACCTTACCGTACCGCAAACCGCACCTGTAGTTGCGCCATCAGCAGGAAGAGTAAAGACGCCACGTCAGTGTAGTACAGGAAGGAGAAGAACCAGTGCAGGGGATACAGCGCCAGCAGCAATGCCTGCAGCTCCGGACTGACGGGAACACCAGCACCCCCACCACCAGCACCACCCCCACCACCAGCACCCCCACCACCGTGGCGGTATGTGGTCAGGATGTTCCGGAGGACCACCAGGCAAGCGGCAGAGAGGAGGACGTTGAGGGAGCGCAGGAATGGGGTGGTGCATGCCGCGTCCTGCAGGAAGCAGGGGGCCAGCGAGCAGGCGTGCCCGGGGAGGATGGTTAAGTAAGGACGGCTAGGACTTGGCCGCTATACGGGGTGGTCCGGTGGGTTGAAACACATCCCGACATCGTGCACTTGCCTTACCATGGGCAAGGCCGAACCCAGGGCTTGCACAGCCCACCGCGCCCATCCGTAGAGCGTCCCCAGGATATAGATGCCGGGGAAGGTGGTGATCTTAGGGTGCCATGATGTGAATGCACCGCGACAGTACTCCCGCGCTTGCGGTCCATGGAAAATCTCGTCCTACACGAAGCAATGGATTATTAGCCTAAGAATTCAGTCCCGATTGAGCTATCTATCGTCGGGTCGTTTGCCTCGCGTTTGGGAGCAAAATCCTTCTGTTGCGGACAAGACCGGAACTTCGGGATCGATGCGCGCGTGCACACCTCACCATGTAGTCATCTGGAACAATTGTATTTACAAGCGATAATATATAACCTTGTAATGCTAAGAATGCTGCCACGAGCCATGACATATGGGTCAGTCGGTATTTACTTTTCGCCTATTTGTCACGTCACAGTGTTGCTAAACGCTTTATAAATTATTATGAAAGTGTCCAATATATTCTTGAAAGTAACCAGATTGCTCCTCCTGACATGCTTTACGGTTTGGGATTTCGTCGCTGTAGTCAGCCGACTCTGCCTCCATCATACCTCGCGGGGGGTTCGCTAGCCTTATGAACAGTAGAGATCAATAGCTTAGTGCTTGTCGTGGTACTCAAACGGAAAGACATTAAGGAAGCGTTTACGTTAGGCCAGCTATGTCGCTTGTACCTCCCATCGCCCGGCCGGCCGGCGAACCTACGCACAGCAAACCAGCAGACGGCAGCGCGCCAGCGTCACGCTCCGCTACCCATGCGGCCACTAGAGCTCCGCCCGCCCAAGCAGGTGTCCCAGGCGAGGGCGCCGCTGTACCCTCCAGCAGCCAAGTCCAGCGTTGCACGGGCACCATAGAGAAAGGACCACGGCAACGCGCGCGGTGCTCAGCAGGCACCACATCCGCTGCTGGGGGAGGTGGCGGCAGCGGGGGCGGCAGTGACTTAATTGAGGATGATAGTAGCTCAGCGGGTAGCGGTCTGCAGCAGGAGGCGGACCCGCTCTACGATGAGGCGGCGGGTGAGTGTGGCGTCGAACCTGCCGGAGAAAGAACCCGTCCGTTGCGTCCCTCTGGCGCACCCCTGCTGCTGCTGCTGCTGCCACTGCGACTGCTGCTACTGCCGCTGCTGTTTTAGCGTGACTTGGGTGCCCGTCCTCACTCACCCACCCACTCATCCACCCACTTGCGTGTCTTGACTATGTGCATGTGAACGTATGAAGTGTGCACAGAAGGCTCAGACCGACACATGTGACACAACCTGCATGTAATCAAGGTGGATCTGTGCCTGTGTGTGTGTGTGTGTGTGTGTGTGCTAGATACCGTTTGATCATGCATGCTGCCACCTAACCTCCTGGGGCATTCGAGGGTGTTTTTGCTCCTGGTACTTGTCTGCTTCGCCCATGTGCGGCGGCGGCTCTCCAACACCCCGTCCTTTCGCCGCTCGCTGCTCTCTGCTCTCCGTGAGAGGTCTGCAGACGAGGAGGATGCCGTCTGGGCAGACCAGCAGCGCGAAGGCCGGGTCTCCGACGCAGTGTTGTCCTGTCCCGGTTGCTTCACCACCCTATGCATCGACTGCCAGCGTCACGAAAAGTACCACCACCAGTACCGGGCCATGTTTGTGATGAACTGCGCAGTGGAGGCAGAGGAGGGGTATGACCCGACAGCGGGGGGCCAGGCAGGCAGTGGCGGCGGCGGCGGCGGCGGCGGCGGCAGGCGGCCTAAACGCGCGCGTGGCTCAGCGCGATACCGCCGAGTAACGTGCGGTGTTTGCGGAACGGAGGTAGGGGCGCTGGAGGTGGATGAGGAGCTCTACCACTTTTACCACGTCTTCCCTAGCAATGCCTAGTAGAGACGCCGAAGTCTCTTGCTGGGGCGGAAGTGGCTGACGTTCGTCACGGTGTTGATAAAGTGAGGAAAGCAGGCGGATGGGGATATATAGACTCGTCTATCTGATTATGGAATTGCCTGAGAGCACCTGTAGGGCCAGCGTGGAATTGGCCGCAGTTGGGCGTTTGCAGACCGTTGGTTCTGTTGGCGGTTGGTTCTGCCGTCTTTGGCGGTTCAATGTAGAGACCATTGCCATTCTGAAACTTAGCAGCGTTCGGCTGCTGCGGCGCCTCTCGAGAGCTGCGGAGGGAGAACGGCATGTTCACAAGCCTTGGTGGCCTGTTTAGTGGTGTTGTTTAAAAATATTACGTGTTACAATCGAGTATCAAAAAAGGAATTTAGGTGATTTCCGTGATGATGCTGATAATGCAGATGACGCTGATGATGCTGATGGCAATGGTAATGCTGATGCTCATGCTGATGATGCCAGTGCTGGTGCTGATGACAATGTAATGATAGTGATGTGCCGTAAAAGGGTTTCGGTAGCTCACAAAACGAATTGCCAAGTAGGGTTTGAGGGTTTTGTTCGTTCTTTAATTCTAAGGTAGGGACTTGAACAAGCAACGGCAAGCCACCACACTAAGCCAGACAATGCCATCCAGACCGGTGTATTTTGCAGAAGACATGTCGTACAACAAACCGTACGCCACAAAGTACAAAAGGCGGATCCAACCGAAATCCAGCCACGATAGTTATGTTAATCAAACTTGCATGTAAGCGCCAGAGGTGTATGTAGTTCATGCGAATACGGGTGGCTCTAACAGCATATGAAGCTGACAAAAACAGAGATATGTTCCATGACAACACAAAAACCTGCGCAAGACCTGCGCCGACCAAGCAACCAAACATTTCGATACATATTTTTAAATTAAGAAGGGCGTGCCGTGCACTGCCGTTATATGGGCATCAACACAAAGTTTTAAAAAAATTATTAACGAACACGGAATCGGACTCCGAAAGAGCAACAATCAGCACATGTGCTTCATAACAACATTTAGGATAAAACACAACTTCGGCTTGTGCATGTGCAAGCGCTTACTATCTTTGCTTGCACTCATCGAAGGTAAATCTTCGTGTAGGTACCGGTTTTATTGCTAAAGGCACCAGCGCTCTTGCTATGCATCGTATCTATGGTTAGGCTTTAGAAAGAACTATTAAGATTTACGTGGCGGTGGAGTAACGGGGACAATCAACGAACAAGGGCGGCGCGTAGCTCCACCAGCAGGATTACGCACATCCCGGCTGGCTCAGCGCCCTGAGTTGAGCAAGGCCACACGCACGCCCAAGCGCTTCTGTGATATAGGATGCAGGCGGACGACGCGCGCGTGCCAGGTAATGCGAATTGAGGCCACACAGCGTACATCCATGCGGTGCTTGTGCCTGTCGTGTAAAATGCAGCAAGAATAAAAACATGCACTTATGCCACATAAACCAACCTCGAACAATACCTGCTTACGAAACAGTCACAACAGCTGCACGACCCGATTTTCGGGTTCATATAAACGGCGTTATTACGCAACGACAACTAGCTCATCTATGCGACTTTATCCCGATTATCGACTATCGGCTCTTAGAAAACTATTTCCTTCTTTTCGATCCATGAACATCCGGGCTCCTTTGGGGCATTGAGCCTTAGGAAGCCTCAATGAGGCTCACAAGCATGACACGCGAACTTGTAACAAAACACCAAAAACAACAATCATGACACCCATGCAACTAAAAGAAGAAAACCGCACAAAGGATGTCACATGCGCTATGTGATCGTCACAATGGGCAACGCTATACGTCGTAGGGACTTTTTCTAGCTTTCACCATTTCCGGCGTTTCGTAAGGCAATGGCCGGCGGGCGAAGTCCCGCCGGGGCTATAACCCATTCGCGTTTGTATAAGCACCAACACCCGGGGGGTAACCCCGGCCTCAGGACCGCCCGACGACCAAACTGACACACGCGCCTTCTCCCCCCCACACACACACACATATGCCCTCGCGCGCGGGCTCCGGTTCAGGGCTCCCCTCCTCCTCTCCAAAGTACTTCCACAAGCTTCATTCCAACCGAATTCTTCAGCGCCTTTTCAAGGTGTCGCAAAGCGCGATGCAGACATGGAGGCTGACGTTCCCGCCAGCTCGGCCATCACCCGCGCCTTTAGGTCCCGCCATCCCGAGCGGCGATCTCCAGCACCCGCACCCGCATACGCATTCATCCCCGCCCGATACTGTACCGCTGCTGCTGCGGCCGCCGCCGCCGCCGCCGTGGGCGCCTCGAGGGAACCAGGAGGCTCCGAAACCGAACCCTCATCACGCCGCGGGTCACCCTGCAGCTGAGACCTCGACCCAGACGGCCGCCCATCAAATGCCAGGACAGCGTCGCCCGCCTCAAACGCAACCTCAGCCGCAGGATCCGGCCCCGAGCCTGCTGCCCAGGCCCCAGTGCCCGGACGTTGGCCGGGGGCGGCGGTGGCGGCGTCCGCCAGTGCGTTACCTGAGCTGCTAACGTCGCTGGACAGCTCTGCCTGCTGACGCGTCTTCGTGCCGCTGCTGCCATTCCGCCTGGGGCTACCAGTCCCAGGGAGCCCCGCCACCCAGGGAGCCCTCTGACTGGCGGGTCTCGGGAAGATCAAACCATCGCCGTTGCGGTTCCCATCGAAGTTGCGCAGCGCGGCGGCCCCTTGGCTACCACCACCTCGTCCGGTGGGGCCCCCCGCCTCCGCCGCCAACGGCGATCGCCCGGGAGCCTCGCTTTGTCCAGACGGCATATCTTCCATGCTCGATCCCTTCCAGGACACACGAGCAGTGACTCGCGAGGCCCAGCCCTCGGCTAAGCCAGCATTCACCTCCCTAAGGTCGTCTGCGGTCAAGTTCTGAGATCGACTTTTAAAGCTGCTGCGGAGGCCAGAACTTGAAGATCCGTCCAGCGGGGCGGCCCATTTCCGCTCCGAATCCCCCGGGGGGTGTTGGCCGTTGCCGCCGCCGCCTCTGCTGCTGCTGCTGCCAGCGGCGGTGGCCATCACCATGTCGCCGGCCCAGGCCACGCGGCTCGTTGCGGCTGGGCTGTGTGTGTCGGCTGATGCAGCGACAGTGGTGAATGGTGAGGCTGCCGACCTTGGCGATGGTACGGCAGCGACGGCCGGTGATGCAGCAGCGGCGAACGCCGGGCCGGCAAGGCGACTGATGGTTGACGCTCGGCCCAGAGACCTGCCGTCAGCACGGAGCCCGGCGAGGCTGATGAAGCTGGAGCGGGAGCTGCTGAGGAGCAAGGCCCCGCGCGGCCCCGCGCGGCTCGCTTCGTAACCAATGGCGCTGTGCCGATGCAGTACAGGACTGGCCGCAGCCACCGTTGCCATGGCGGTGCTGCCAATAGTGGCGAAGCGCGCCAGGTGGCGGTTTTGTATGTGCGCTAGCGACTGCGTCCTCAGCGGGGGTCTGCGGCCCACGCGGCCCGGATCCGTGCCGTCCGGGGTTGTTATCATTGCAGAAATGGCCCCGGCTGGGCCGTCGCCAGCGGCAACGGCAGCGGAGGTGGCGCCGCCGCCGCCGATACTACGGTGCGCCGCCAGCAGGTCCTCACCCAGGAGCACCGGCAAGCTGCGACGGCGGATGCTGCGGGCTGACGCGGACATCTGCGACTGAAATGCACGCGGCGACCTTGGTGTGGCGGCTAGGCTGCGCGAGGAGGAGCTCGCTCTGGCATTCAGTAACCCCTCCCCCTGGGTACGGGCGCTGATGCTGAAGCCTTTGACAGCCACCGTAGCTCCTACACTAAGGATGTTGCCGGCCGGGCTGTAAAGCGGCCGGGTGCCGGGGTGATGGTCAGTGGTGTCGTCGTCCACTCCCGGACCACCCGGTGGAACACCGGCAGCGCCGATGATGCCCCCGCGGGACGAAGGTGACGCGGTGCTCGGTAGGGAGATGCTCGTCCGTGCATTCGCAAGGGCCGTGCCGACGCCGTCGCCGACGTCGGCATCTTGGGAATTTGACCCCGGAACGCTGGCCTGGCTCCAGCGCTTCGAACTGCGCGGCAGCTGCTGCTCCTCGCTGAGCGAGAACCTGACGGCGGCGGTGTGGCGGCCGACGCTCACGTTGATATCCCGGTCGCTGACTCCGAGAGGGCGGCGCACACCAAACGGCACGTGATCGACAGGATCCGCTTCCGGGGGCAGCGGAAGTACGGCAGTACCCAACGGCAGTGACGACGACTTGAGGAGCAGCGGCGTAGAGGCTCTCGCAGGGACGGTGACGGCGGCGGCGGCAGTTACGTCCGCCGCCGCGGCCGCAAGTGCCGCCTCCCGGTCTGCGGGGTCCAGCGCCGGCAGCGCCACCACGGTGTTACCCTGAAGTACAGCCGCGCGCGCCTGCGCCGCCGTGACGGCGTGGTCCTCGCGGTACCGAGCACGGGATGTGAACCGGCGGCCTGCCGTACCGAGCACGAAGCAGCCCGTGAACAAAAGGATCACCCCGATGGCCACCACAACCCAGACCCAGGGGGGAATCTTGGAGCTTCTAGAAGCAGCCCCAGCGCCAGCGGCAGCGGCAGCCCCCCCCGGAGCCTGCGGTGGTGGCGGAACACGATCTGTAGCCAGTTGGCCTCGGCCCCCTGGCGGATCTGGCTGGGCGGTTGCTGGAGGTCGTGGCGGATGGAAGGAGCCACCAGCCTGCCAAGGACAAGAAGAGTCAGAAGTTTCGCGAACCGCGATGGAATCCTCTTCACCTTTAAACTGTCCATACATGAGACCTCAAAAATTCTCAAAACGCCAACGGTAACTGGAAGGAAAAACTGAAATTTTGAAAAAATAAAAACAATAATGTGGACCAGTCAAATGGAGCAAACATGGTCAAACATGTAACCTAGGAGCTGGGCATTAGACAAATCACAGGCACAAAGCTGACCGGTAACCCGTACAGTGTCAGCATGCAAGCTTAATGCGCCACATCTGCGCCGGCACAGCGCCATCAAGCACAGCA